ACATCCCTGTGATTCATCTGTGTCTTCAACTTCCGACTGTGTCCCCTTGTTACTGTGTTCCATCTCTGGATCTGTGCGTGAGATATATATATATATATATATATATATATATATATATATATATATATATGTATATATATATATATATATATATATATATATATATATATATATATATATAATGTGATGACAGGTGTGATATAATTGGTGGTTGCAGGTGTCACCACAACTATCACAGCAGCTGTGGTGCCCAACGATCGGTGACAGAGTGTCGTCAGACTTGGTGTGTGAGGTTATTAATCAATGGGAGAGGAAGTTGTGGTAATTTTAGGGTGATAAGAGATATTTAGTGTCTGGGTATGAGCAGTTGAGGAAGTTTGTGAGAATGTAGAGAGAATGTGAGATGGAATTGTGAGGGAATGCGAGTTTGTGAGATAAAGCGTGTGTTAGAATGTGAGTGAGGGAATATTAGTGTGAAATAATGTGAGAAAAAGAGATGGAGTGTGGGAGAATGTGAAAGTGCAGTGTGAGGATGTGTGAGAGAATGTGAATAAGAGTTAGAATGTGTTTGTGAAGGGGGAAATGTGTAATGTGAGCGAGAGAGAGAGAGAGAGAGAGAGAGAGAGAGAATTATATTTTTCCTAAGTGCGGTAAAGAGCTAAGCCTCCTGGCCCTCCCTCTCAACTCACTGACAACTGGCTATGTCCCATCTTAAAGAACGAACGTTCACAACTCCACGTGGGAGAACAGAACATGGCCACAACTCCACATGGAAGACCAGAACATGGCCACAACTCCACATGGGAGAACACCAGAACATGGCCACCACAACTCCACATTCGAGAACACCAGAACATGGTCACAACAACTTCACGTTGGAGAACACTAGAACATGGCCACAACTTCACATGGGAGAACACCAGAACATGGCCACAACAACTCCACATTCGAGAACACCAGAACATGGCCACAACAACTCCATATGGGAGAACACCAGAACATGGCCACACTTTACCTTAGCTCCCTTGATCCCAAATAAATTCCAATTTATAAATTTAAACCACTAGTGGCCTACGGTGCTGGTTTATGCTGTCCTTAAACCTTCTGGATTCTTGAAAAACCATAAGTTTATTACACACACACATATATATATATACATGTGTATATATATATATATATATATATTTTATATATATATATATATATATATATATATATATATATATATATATATATATATATAATATATATAACCCAGGTACCTATTTTACTGTTAGGTGAACAGGGACAGCAGGTGTCTTAAGGAAACACGTCCTAGTTCAATGAGAACGGTTTAAAACACCGAGTTATCACACACTGGATATTAAAATTAACCGGGCTGTGAACAGGTCGTTGGAATTTAAAGACCAATTTGATAATAGTAATGGAGTGAGAGGCACAGTGATAAGTGTGTTGATAGTAAGGAAAGGGATTACGAGCCTTGACGGTAGTGTGAAAGATAAGTGCTTCGATAATTAGATAAAGCTGAGAGCCACACTCATAATAATAATAATAATAATAATGCTGTTGACTGAACCAGCAATACCCAGATATTAGCCAATAAAACAAAGGATGGAAGAAATAAAGACAATGACAGCAAATAATCATTTTTCTTGCAATGTTTTGCCCATGGCTGAGCTTTGTTAAGTATTAAATGGATTGTGATTTAAATGCTTTAGAAAGTAGAAAGGATGAAAAAGAGAGACTTGTGCAATATTTGGGAAGCTTTATTGTGGAAATTTTTCGCCCGTCAGTGGCTTCTTCAGTCTAATGTAGAGAACAGTGGAAGATTTAGAGTAGTTTGAGGTAATCAGTCCCTCAGCCTGGAGACGATGTGTACAGTCCAGGACTGATGGACTGAACACAGACTCCAGGCTAAGGGACTGATTACTTCAAGCTCCTCATCTTCCAATGTTCTCTACATTGGACTAAAGAATCCACTGGCTTCTTTAGTCCAAAGTACAGAGTACCTAGCTGGACAGTGCCTGGAGGCAGAGATCAACTTCACACCTAGAAGGGGAAATGGCACTAGCATAGATAGCCCTTAGTTCCTGGAGTATACCTGGAGTGTGTTTCGGGGGGGCCAAAGCCCCCTCGGCCTGGTCCATAACCAGGTCTCGCGGTGCTTCGGGGCTTAATCAACAAGGCTGTTATTGCTGGCTGCGCGCAGACGTACGAACCGGCTGGTCGGGAACCGATTAAAGTCGAAGATGACGAGTGAAGAAGAGAGTAAAAGAACATGGAAATATAGAAATAAACATGAGAATAGAGAAGTGGATAAAAGTGCCAGAAATAAACATGCGAGGGAGAGAAGAAACTGAGCAACACTTTGAGAATGGCAAGAAAAAATCAAGTCTGACCTGAAAGGGCTTTCACAATCACATCAGAAATAAAGGACAATAAAAGACCTGTGTAATTCGACCGAAGGAGAAACGAGAGTTAAAGAGGTGTTCTCGGCCTGGTCGAGAACCGAGTCGCGGAGGCTTTGACTCCTGGAGCACCCTCCTGGTAGGTAGTGGAAAAAGGGCCAGTACTAGAGAGCCAAAGGTAAAGGTTACACCAAACACGACAGAAAGGTGAAAACCCCGTGAGGGAGCTGGATACATAGAAAACAATGGGACCTGAAAGGGCTGAGCTTGCTACCATCTGCAGCTCATAAGACTGCCATCCCCACGAGCCCCTTTGGGGCGGGGCAGATGGCAGACCAGAGGCCTAGCTTCTCCCTACGAGCCCCGTGAGGGCGGGGAATGTGGCTAGGCCTGGGGACACTTGGTCCCAAAGATGAGGAGGTACTGTACCTCCTCCCATGGGAGACTTAAGTCTCGAGACACTCCCCAGATAGGGAGCCAAGGCCGGGTCACCACTACTTGGAAAAGACCCGGGCCGGGAGAATACCGGCGAATAAAAAAAAAAAAACGGGACCTGACGAGGGGGTCACCAGAAAATCCGTTTCTGGTATACATGAATGGCATACCAGATGACACTGAGTCAGATGCATCCGTTTGCTGACATAAAACTAGTGAGAATAAAAGCTAACGAGGACAAAGAAAGGCTACAAATGGATCTGGACAAACTAAGGTTGACATGTCTTTACTCGAATTCAGTACCAGGAAATGCAACGTTTTGAAACTGATAAAGGGGCAAGAAGACCGGAAACTGAGTATAGACTCGGGAGGGAAGGAGGACAGTTAAACTCACTCTGGAGAAAGCAGGTTAGCATAGTGCGAAGCATACTCACAGAGGCTCCATATCAGCATAATAACTTCTGAAAGATAATGTTGTGTTTAGCAGAGCTAGAGAGCTTAGCTAAGGCTTAGGCATTATGTGAATGATACATACACGTATGCTAGCCCATCCTGAGAACCGCGTGTCATCATAAACCCAACTCCTGTCAAGCTGTTAGAACTGCAGAAGTCATAGCACGAAACTCATAATATGAGGGATCCCTGGGATACCATAACATACAAAATACTCAGGCTATGACAGGTATGACAATACAAAACTGATCAGGGGGAAAATAGCGTAGACAAGGTGTGCTGGACATTAGACAGTCACTAGATCTCCACTACAGTGAAGAAGGGCTGCTGGTGTACAAAATGTTTGCTGTACAGACTTGAGGTGTAGAAGGTGTTATTTGCATCATCCATGTTCAGATACAACATCCTCATGCTACACCTTTATCCCGCTTGTCTCATCCCTACTTCTTTCTGTCTCACATCATGTCACCGTTCCGAATGAAGACAAGTACCTGCATACAGATCTCCCATCATGGACTCCTGAACAGGTGTGTTAATACAGACTCCTAGGGAATAAAACGCTCACGCACAATGAGGTAATAATTAAAACAAATGATTGGCTACATGGTTCCTTAGAAAACATCTCCAGTGACGAAGGGCACCGGTGTCAAAATGTTCTCCAGTAAAGGACCTTTCTGAAATGTGTCTTATTTTCACAAAAAATTACCACCAGGTTCAGCAATACAACACACCAACAACACCCACACACACACTCCCAAACACACACCACCAAACAAGCACACCACACAACACACACCACACACACACTTCGACAAAAGGCATTAAACAATGCATGTACCTCACCACACAGGGCTCACCTTAGCGAGGCAACTCCCTATACAAGGCATCTCCTTATCAAGGCATCTACCTAACAAGGCATCTCCCTAAACAAGGCATCACCCTAAACAAGGCATCTCCCTAAACAAGGCATCTCCCTAAACAAGGCATCTCCCTAAACAAGGCATCTCCCTAAACAAGGGATCTCCCTAAACAAAGCATCACCCTATACAAGGCATCTCCCTAAACAAGGCATCTCCCTAAACAAGGCATCTCCCTATACAAGGCATCTCCCTATACAAGGCATCTCCCTAAACAAGGCATCCCCTAACAAGGCATCTCCCAAATACAAGGCATCTCCCTAAACAAGGCATCTCCCTAACAAGGCATCTCCCTAACAAGGATCTCCCTAAAACAAAGGCATCACCCTATACAAGGCATCTCCCTAAACAAGGCATCTCCCTAAACAAGGCATCTCCCTAACAAGGCATCTCCCTAAACAAGGCATCTCCCTAAACAAGGCATCTCCCTATACAAGGCATCTCCCTATACAAGGCATCTCTCTATACAAGGCATCTCCCTATACAAGGCATCTCCCTATACAAGGCATCTCCCTATACAAGGCATCTCCCTATACAAGGCATCTCTCCTCCCCTACAAGGCATCTCCCTATCAAGGCTCTCCATACAAGGCATCTCCCTATACAAGGCATCTCCCTATACAAGGCATCTCCCTATACAAGGCATCTCCCTATACAAGGCATCTCCCTATACAAGGCATCTCCCTATACATAAAATAGGACATGTTCCTAATACGTACTATTATTATTAAAAAAGAAGAGCTGAGCTCTAATGGATCATAGAGCGCTGTATAATTAAGTACACATACCTGGATGACTCGAATACATCCGCCGGCAGCCTCCACAGATGGAAAGGATAGATACTTAAAAAAAAAATACACTTTTCAGTAACACATAAGGCCCACCAGGAAGCACGCAGGAGAGTTTGAAACAAATTAAGGAGCTGCAAGTTTTTTCCAGACCACCACAAACTACCAGACTCTTGACCACCTCAACACTAACTGTTGGGAGTCACTTGACTTGAGGGATTCACGACTTCGAGACTTTAACTCGCATACTGTTGATATACAGCGAGAGGCATGTTTCTCTCAGTGTATATACAATGAGAGTTTGAAACCCAATTAGGATTAAGTTTTCCATACCACATATAATACGTGACTCTTACCTTGAAACTCTACTGTTGTGAGGTTCAACTTGTACATGCAGAAATCACACCAAGGACTTATCACTTGCTAACTTTTTTGAGTAATCCAGTTCCAACATATTCTCTATGTATATACAATGAACGATTTTTTAAATACCTAATTTAATTACTTAATACCCTCAAACTTGATTACGATACATAGGCTTGGAAAGACTGAGGACGCCGTATAACAAGTACCTCTTCCCAGCCCCATAGTAAATGAAAAAATGTTGTCTAACTTCATTTGTAATCCTAAGTTTCTCTACACCAATTGGATGTATGTATTAATTAACTGAAATTAGTTTACCGGGATCATCTTACTTACCATTAAAGTAACCTTCAAATTTATTACAGATGTCAACGGGCCTTTTGCGGTCAACAGAGGACAGCCTTACAAGCATCAACTTCCCCAGCCCCAACAGATGCTTTATTGCCAAAATGGTGCTTTCAGTGTATAACATGAGAGTTTCTCTATGCCAACATGGCTGCTTTCAGCTTAATCAATTGGAACCTTAGTCTTTGCCCATCGTTTAGCTGCAATACCATTAAAGCCTTCTTTCAACATATGACTTTCAGCTTGCAACTTGGCTGCCTTTTAGCTTGTCAACTTGGCTGCCTTTCAGCTTGTCAACATGGCTGCCTTTCAGCTTGTCAACATTGGCTGCCTTTCAGCTTGCCAACATGGCTGCCTTTCAGCTTGTCAACATGGCTGCCTTTCAGCTTGCCAACATGGCTGCCTTTCAATTCTTAAAACAACTTGCTCAACACTTTCATTTCCGTACATATTCAGCTACACGTGATGTCTAGTTGTCTTAGCTTACGCTCTGGCTTGGAGTTTGACGACTCACTCGCCGCGAGTTTAGTCCCCGCTCGTGGTAGTTTGTTATGTGTAATGTTAGGTTCATATCTACATCAAAAGTATTGTGAAAAATGTAATCTTATGTTCTTACATCGTGAGTATATTGTCTTAAAAGTAAAAAAAACATAGAAAGCATTGGAGTATAAGAATTAACACTGCAGAAGGCCTACTGGCCCTTACTAGACATGTCCTTCTCAAATTTAAGCTAACATAACTATTTGTGAACCCAGTTCTCAAAGCTGCGTTGGTATTTCAGAGTAGCGACGCAGCTCGTCTTGAAACCTCACCATCTCCCAGTACATCCCAAGACGACAGTGAAGACGACATGGACGACGAAAACCAGGTCAAGACTACGAACGACAAGCATCAGGTCGTCAAGAGTCCCAAGGGCGACCACAACACCCACCTGAGCGACAAAGCCGATGGAAAATCGGCTGTCAGGAGGGAATCGGGTACAACCCCAACCCACAACACCAAATAAGCAACATAGTCTTAAGATCAATGAGAAGTATATAAGACTAGGTGAAGAATTAGACACATGTGCAACATCTGGGTATCTTTATTGTAGACGTTTCGCCATCCAGTGGCTTTATCAATACAAATTCAAGGACATAATGGTAAGACAGTAGAACTATATACAAAAGATGAGGTAATCTGTCCCTCAACGTGGACTTGGTGAAGACTACCATAGTCTTGAAGACTCAGAAGCGTCTGAAGACTCTTCAAGACTACGATAGTCTTCACCAACTCCAACTTATGTAAGACACATATGCAACAGTTAGGAATCTTTATTTCGAAACGTTTCGCCTACACAGTAGGCTTCTTCAGTCGAGTACAGAAAAGTTGACAGAAGCAGAAGATACTTGAAGACGATGTAATCAGTCCATCACCCTTAAAGTTTTGAGGTGGTCAGTCCCTCAGTCTGGAGAAGAGCATTATTCCATAGTATGAAACAATATATTGTTTCATGGACTGATTACATCGTCTTCTGTATTGATAAAGCCACTGGAGGGCGAAACGTCTTCAATAAAGATACCCAGATGTTTCACATGTGATTAATTCTCCATCTTGTCGGTACTGTCTATTATTCAGAGGTACCAAGGGAAGTAAATTTTGACGTAGATTTGGGACAAACTGATGCAGAGTTTAATGTTAATTGCTAAGAAGAAACGTGAATAATTGTTGACAAATTTTTGAGTTTGGGGCTACAAGACAAGACTTCAAGGTGCAAGTGTCCGTAAAGGACGTCAATTTTTTATTCTCAGTGAATAAAAAAAATTCATCTCTGCTGCGTGTGGTGATATTATTATTATTATTATTATTATTATTATTATTATTATTATTATATTATTATTATTATTATTATTATTATTATTATTATTATTATTATTATTATTATTATTATTTTTATTATTATATTGTTGTTATAATTCCAGCAATTCCAGGAACAGCTGTTAAAAATTGACCACTGTCTGGAAAATCTTCCAGCTCCTGCACCCAACATCTTGCTCCTGGGGGATTTCAACTTAAGGCACCTAAAATGGAGGAATATAGCAAATAATATTGTTGCAGTAATAACACCAGGAGGCAGCTCTGATGAAAACTCACACTCACACGAACTTTTAAATCTGCACAAAATTCAATTTAAACCAGCAAATAATAGAGCCTACTAGACTGGAGAATACACTAAACCTCATCTTCACTAACAATGATGATCTGATAAGAAATGTCACCATATCAAAAACAATATACTCAGATCACAACATAATTGAGGTTCAGACATGTATGCGCGGAGCCCCAGACCGACATAATGAGACTAGTCACGAGGGAGCATTCACCAAATTCAACTTCAATAACAAAAACATAAAGTGGGACCAAGTAAACCAAGTCCTAACCGATATAAGCTGGGAAGATATACTAAGCAACACAGACTCCAACTTATGCCTAGAACAGAATAACTTGGTGGCACTCGATGTATGCACAAGGCTTATTCCTCTAAGAAAAAGGAGGAGTAGATGTAAAATAGAAAGAGACAGGCGCTCCCTTTACAGGCGACGGAAAAGAATAACAAGCGGCTAAAAGAGGTCAATATATCTGAAATGCGTAGGGAGACACTGGTCAGAGAAATAGCAAGCATCGAACTTAAGCTAAAGGAATCTTATAGGAGTCAGGAATCGCGGGAAGAACTAAAAGCCATAAATGAAATCGAAAGAAACCCAAAGTATTTCTTCTCCTATGCCAAATCAAAGTCGAGAACAACGTCCAGTATTGGGCCCCTGCTTAAACAAGATGGGTCCTACACAGATGACAGCAAGGAAATGAGTGAGCTACTCAAGTCCCAATATGACTCAGTTTTTTAGCAAGCCGCTAACCCGACTGAGGTCGAAGATCAAAATGAATTTTTTATGAGAGACCACAAAAAATTTTATTAACACCCAAGCCTATCCGATGTTATCCTGACGCCAAATGCTTCGAACAGGCGATAAATGACATGCCCATGCACTCTGCCCCAGGGCCAGACTCATGGAACTCCGTGTTCATCAAGAACTGCAAAAGCCCCCATCACGAGCCTTTTCCATCCTATGGGAGAGGGAGCATGGACACGGGGGTCGTCCCCACAGTTACTAAAAACAACAGACATAGCCCCACTCCACAAAGGGGGCAGTAAAGCAACAGCAAAACTACAGACCAATAGCACTAACATCCCATATCATAAAAATCTTTGAAAGGGTCCTAAGAAGCAAGATCACAACCCATCTAGAAACCCATCAGTTACACAACCCAGGGCAAAATGGGTATAGAACAGGTCGCTCCTGTCTGTCTCAACTATTGGATCACTACGACAAGGTCCTAAATGCACTAGGGAAGACAAAAAGAATGCAGATGTAAAATTATACAGACTTTGCAAAAGCCCTTTGACAAGTGTGACCATGGCGTAATAGCGCACAAAATGCGTGCTAAAGGAATAACAGGAAAAGTCGGTCGATGGATTTATAATTTCCTCACTAACAGAACACAGAGAGTAGTCGTCAACAGAGTAAAGTCCGAGGCAGGCACGGTGAAAAGCTCTGTTCCACAAGGCACAGTACTCGCTCCATCTTGTTCCTCATCCTCATATCCGACATAGACAAGGATGTCAGCCACAGCACCGTGTCTTCCTTTGCAGATGAACCCGAATCTGCATGACAGTGTCTTCCATTGCAGACACTGCAAGGCTCCAGGCGGACATCAACCAAATCTTTCAGTGGGTGCAGAAAACAATATGAAGTTCAACGATGAGAAATTTCAATTACTCAGATATGGTAAACACGAGGAAATTATATCTTCATCAGAGTACAAAACAAATTCTGGCCACAAAATAGAGCGAAACACCAACGTCAAAGACCTGGGAGTGATCATGTCGGAGGATCTCACCTTCAAGGACCATAACATTGTATCAATCGCATCTGCTAGAAAAATGACAGGATGGATAATGAGAACCTTCAAAACTAGGGAGGCCAAGCCTATGATGACACTCTTCAGGTCACTTGTTCTATCTAGGCTGGAATATTGCTGCACACTAACAGCACCTTTCAAGGCAGGTGAAATTGCTGACCTAGAAAATGTACAGAGAACCTTCACGGCGCGCATAACGGAGATAAAACACCTCAATTACTGGGAGCGCTTGAGGTTCCTAAACCTGTATTCCCTGGAACACAGGCGGGAGAGATACATGATTATATACACCTGGAAAATCCTAGAGGGACTAGTACCGAACTTGCACACGAAAATCACTCACTACGAAAGCAAAAGACTTGGCAGACGATGCAACATCCCCCCAATGACAAGCAGGGGTGTCACTAGCACGTTAAGAGACCATACAATAAGTGTCAGGGGCCCGAGACTGTTCAACTGCCTCCCAGCATACATAAGGGGGATTACCAACAGACCCCTGGCAGTCTTCAAGCTGGCACTGGACAAGCACCTAAAGTCGGTTCCTGACCAGCCGGGCTGTGGCTCGTACGTTGGTTTGCGTGCAGCCAGCAGCAACAGCCTGGTTGATCAGGCTCTGATCCACCAGGAGGCCTGGTCACAGACCGGGCCGCGGGGGCGTTGACCCCCGGAACTATCTCCAGGTAAACTCCAGGTAAATAATAATAATAATAATAATAATAATAATAATAAAAACAATAATAATAATAATAATAATTATTATATATTATTATTATTATCATTATTATTATTATTTTTTATTATTAATGTTGTTGTTGTTGTTAATATAATAATAATAATAATAATAATAATAATAATAATAATAATAATAATAATAATAATTATTATTATTATTAAAATTTGCAAAATTTAATGTGTTGTGAGTTGTGGAAATATGTAAATAAATATTTATTATACTCATAAAAAACGTTTGATGTAATTGCGTAATGTAATATAAGAAATGGTGGAGGCTCGATCCTCCGTCCACTTAATAGCGAAAATATCAGAAACTTGACTGATCTCAAACTGTGATTAAATATGCTAGTATTATTAAAATTAAATGAAGCCAAACTATTGTATTATTACCAACCTTTTTAATGGTGTAGAGACACAACTGCACTGATCAGTGATTATATATCGTCTTGCGTCGTCAGGAGCTGTGGCCCGGTGGTCTGGTGGCTAAAGCTCCCGCTTCACACACGGAGGGCCCGAGTTCGATTCCCGGCGGGTGGAAATTCTGACACGTTTCCTTACACCTGTTGTCCTGTTCACCTAGCAGCAAATAGGTACCTGGGTGTTAGTCGACTGGTGTGGGTCGCATCCTGGGGGACAAGATTAAGGACCCCAATGGAAATAAGTTAGACAGTCCTCGATGACGCACTGACTTTCTTGGGTTATCCTGGGTGGCTAACCCTCCGGGGTTAAAAATCCGAACGAAATCTTATCTTATCTGACAACAGCAGGAGAAGTAGGGTAAGTTTTAAGAGAGTGGTTGCCTTTGCAACATTGCAAAGCTCCTGAAAAGGCACTGTGTAGCCTCACCACTTACCTACACAGTTTGGTCAGCTAGCAGATACAGGATGTTTCAAAATTATGGCCCCAATTTCAAAGCAGTTTGCCTTGAAATTGGGTCTATCATTTTAAAACACCCTACATTTCATGCTCTTACAAAGACATATAATGGGGAAATTGGGTCCATCTTTTTTAAAATACACTTTATTTCAAGCTGTTATATATGGGAACTAAAAATAACTTTGATGCTGGGAAAAACAATTGATGTATTTAAATGGTGCTCTAAGCCCACGGACGTAACAGTAATCTATCAATATAATTATTACATTACATGTGAAATAAATGGTTTTGAAAGCTGACAGATTGAAAAATGAGATACCTGTGCAATATTTGGGAATCTTTATTGAGGAAACTTTTCGTCAGTCAGTGGCTTCTTCAGTCTAATGCAAAGGACGGTGGAAAAAGAGGAGGAGTTTGAGGTACTTAGTCCCTCAGCCTGGAATCGATGTGTTAAGTGCATCACATTCTTGAAGATTAATGGTCTCAACACATCGATTCCAGGCTCAGGGACTGATTATCTCAAACTCATCTTCCACTGGTTTCCGCTGCACTGGACTGATGATGGCACTAGCTGGCGAAACGTTTCCAGAATAAACACACCTAAGTGTTGTTAGGTAATTAAAATATTACTACTAATACTTAAGTATTACTAAAGTGTCTCACTTATCAGTAATCCTTATAGGCAACCTTGCTGGCTGTTGTACATTGGTCTGTTATTCTCTGTGACCTGGGGAATACTTTCTGGCTGTGGTACGTTTTCTCATTCTCTGTGACCTGGGGAATACTTCTTGGCTGTGGTACGCTTTCTCATACTCTGTGACCTGGAGAATACTTGTGGACTGTGGTACGTTTTCTCATACTCTGTGACCTGGGGAATACTTGTGGACTGTAGTACGTTTTCTCATACTCTGTGACCTGGAGAATACTTCTTGGCTGTGGTACGTTTTCTTATACTCTGTGGCCTGGGGAATACTTCCTGGCTGTGGTACGTTTTCTTATACTCTGTGACCTGGGGAATACTTGTGGACTGTGGTACGTTTTCTCATACTCTGTGACCTGAGGAATACTTCCTGGCTGTGGCACATTGCTCTCTTATCCTCTGTGACCTGGGATAACCTTGCAGAGTGTAGTAGAGCGAGCTATATCTTCAACTCTCCACCCTGCAAACAAAAGTCTTGATTATATTACATAAAAGCCTCTGTGTTGAGGGTGAAGACAGAATAATGTAAACACAAACAGCTGTTGTTTGGGTAAGTGATCACCAGGGCCTTTTGTAAAGGAAAGTTCTCTTCTTTCA